CTGAAATGAAAAAAACATATCGTGATATGAAAAAATCTCATATCGCCCAGCTCTAGTTTGATTGTGTTTGACAGTGTTTGATTGTGTTTTTGTGAGAACACGGTGTACGTGTATGTTTTGATCTGCTGCAGAACTTTATGTGTGGTCGACTGTGATCACACAGAAACGTTTTCAGTTTAAACCTTTGAAAGTTTATTTTTCTCTGATGTCTTGAGCTAAACCAAGTAGTGCGACTGAACTCGTGTCATTGTATTTAAAAGGCTTGATAATTAATGCTTCACCTTAACTTAAAGTATTTTTAAAAGTGTTTTTTTTTAAATAAAACTTTAAAATACTTTTAAAGTACTAAAGAAGGGAATTAGATTTGACATCACTCCATAGTCTCGACTCTTCGCTGCTTTCAGCTTATTTAAGCCATTGTGCAGAAGTCTGGGGCAGTAACTATAAACTACAGTGTCCATCATTTTCAGTGTTATTCATACTAACTCATTGTTCTTGAAATGCTGAGGTTTGCAGATCTAATTGAAATAAAAGTATAACAGAAAGAGTCAGAGCATGTGTTTTTGTTGTGGAGCACTGCGCAGACATGAAGCACTTCAAAAAAGAGGCATAAAGATCATAATGAGATCATAAAAATGGTGAATATTAGCGAACGTCTCGGTTTAGTTAGCGACCACTTTGTCCGTATTCACATTGTACAGCAAACGTTCCAACACTGGAGTATTTATTCAGCTTCGATGTGTGCAGGCTGCAAAAACAGGATGATAATAATTTGTATTTTACGTAGAGGCTTATTAGAAAAATGTTCATATCAGTAAGGAAGCTGGATAAATGTCAACTGATAATTTTTGGAGAAGAGGTGGAATCAGATCAGCGTGCACGTCCTCCCACTCCTTCTCGAGGGCAAGCCAATCAGAACAGCTGGAGTGAATTTGATTTATTTTCTCAATGAGCTTTCTTTGTATTGTTTACATGGTCAAAATAAATTAAACAGAACAAACCAAAAAACTAAAAAATAAAAGTCATCATGCTCAGTGAAATGATCATAGAGGGACCAATGAAATATGAATTTACTGTTACAGTGACGCTTGGAGAAAATCCACTTGGAAAATCATTGATTGTCCTTCTATAGAGCAATAACAACGTTGTTATTGCCCAAAATCCAAACAAAGAAGAACTGAAGCAGCAGATGAATGAGCTGGAAATGTAAGTGTCCTGTGTGGGTGCAATAATAAGTCAAATTAAACATACTCTGCCTCTCTGAGATCATTTGTCCTCACTTGTCCACATAATTTTGTCCAGTTGGTGGCGATGTCTGCTTATCTTAGTCTGCCGGGCAGTAACACAAGTTCCCAACAATCCCTGAATGAGGCGCAGCTCTGAAGTAAAAATACTCCAATCCAAAAATACTCCTTGTACTGGAGTATTTTGGGATTTGGTCTGGAGACGTATTTTCCCTATCATCCTGTGCCTCCTCTCTGAACTCTGAGCAACATTTGTCCTTCTGTAACTTCCACCACTTAATCCTTGCCTCTGCCTTCGCTTGCTTCTTCCTTAAAGCCATCCTACAGACTACCATCTGACACCGCCTTGCACCTTCTACACCCATTTCCATGTTTCACAGAAGATGCTGCACATCAGGATTTCTCTCCTTAATGCCATAACCACCCAACACCTCTGCACCACCTTTGTTCCCTACATGTCCACTGCAGTCGTTACATTTACAGTCTGTGCTCTTCCACATTCCTTACATTTATCCCTGTCATGACGGAAGGACGGGAAGCATGAAGATGACAGATCATACCATCTTGGATTTCCGAACCAGTTCAGAAGATAGATTCCCCGGCGTCTTAACGCAAAGAATCCAAAACTGGTCATGCTGACCCTATGCAACACAGCGCCCCCATGTGACAGATTAAAGAAACTGCTGTATGTAGACACTTGTGAGGACTTACAGAAAAGACACAAAAGGACAAATCATAGAAACAAATTCATTTATTGGCAGTAAAATAGTTATACAATGTTCGTTTAAGGAGATGTTGAACCGTTTTGAGGTGAAACGATCAGCCGCACAGGAGTCAGGGAGGATTTCACAAGTGTAAATGAAATAAACGCGGCTTCATGTCAGCGCACACCCAGTTCGCTTCTAAACTCTCCTGAAATTATAACGTAAAGATTACAGAAATAAAAACAAAGCTTTGACGGTACATTTATAACACAAACTAAAGCAAAAAGTCAGTCCTTGTGCTTCTTTGCCAGGGCACTCTCGTAAAAGAAATTTTAATCTCAAGAGTTTTATTTTTCCTGGTTAAATAAATAAAAATACAATTTTAAAGTTCACAGGTGTCTTTATATCAGGGGTGTCAAACAGGAGGCTCGGGGCCCAGCAAAGACTCTAATTCGGCCGGTGGAACAAGTGAAGGAAGGCATACATTTTGCCCTTTGAACTGTATTTCCATAAGTTTGCAGCTTTTCTTACTGATAAAGACATCCACCATCCACATTCATACTATAACACAGAAATAAAATAACAGAAAATCAGTTTGAGGGCAGAAAAGTTCTTTTTTCAATAATGAGACTACAGTAAAAGTTTTCTGTGAATTAACAAAAACTTGGTGTTTTATAAGTACAGTGTGAGGAATGAGCTCTCTGAACATTTAAGCCCAAAGAGTCAGGCTGGCAGGTTTCTTTCTTTCCTGCAGCTGCTTTTATTTATCACGTAGAAAAACTGAGCTGTACTGTGCAGACTGCCCTTCTTGGTCTCATATCAACACATGTCAGGGATTAAATTTGTACTTAAGCTTCTTTACGCTGACAGAAAGGCCACTTTCACTGGTCCGGGCCTTTTAACACAGGGTGGGCTGTATGTGGCCACAATGCAAACTGAGTCTGACACCCCTGCTTTACACCTTTATCCAGCAGAAACTGACAGTTTGACAAAAACAGCTTTAAAAATCTCTTCAAAGGGATCAAATCTGCATCATTACCTCACATGAAAATACAAATAAATAAAAACATGAACAATATCTCAAAGAAATATAGTGAAACTAAAACATTTCTTCACATTCATTCTCCTCTCTTCATTACTTTTTAGTCTCTTTAAAGCTAATTCATGTGCAGCTTCTTCATATTGTGCATGTGCCCAATACTGTCCTGTTTTGCATAGTTTAACATTTGATTCCTTCACAGCTTGAGGGGGTCGGACCGCTCTCACATCGCTCTGCTAAATGTGGAGCCATGAAGCTGTTTGCTTAGCTGAGCAGAAAAAGGTGCGTCTCTGTAAAGGCTCACAGCGTTTCTGCCAGGATCCAAACCAAGTCAGCTTTAGAGGATTTTCAGCCACTTGTTCCGAGCTCGAGCATCCTGACTTTTACTCTGCTGCAGGTCAGAGACCTCACCAGCTTTTTACTGCTCTGCATCCATCTGACAACAACATTAGTCACATTAAAAACATATTTATTTGAAGTCCCGACAGTAATTATGGACTCTTCAGTGCATTTACATGATGCTGTTACTGACCGTGAAACAGTCGATCAGCTGACTGTCTCTCTGCTTCTTCTTTGGTAAATGAAACATACTAAAATGTTTCCTTGGACTCATCGTTGCATTAAAACTCGAGGCTTCGTGCTCAGCTAAGCTAACGTCTCCTGGCCTCAGATTTGCCCAAATGTTGAACTATTCATCTTCTGTTCACGCTTCCAGCCGCTCTGGCATAAAGTGAAGCTACAGCGGCACTCTGCTTTAGTGGCATTTCACATTAATCTGCATGTGCAAACTACTCAAAAAATACAATAAAATACAACAAAATAAATACTAAAGTGTGAAAGCACATCCTCGTGTCTTTGGTGAAGTCTCTGTGCTTCAGAGGTTAAACCTGCAGGTCTCACAGTTTTAACCGTGTGAGGAAAAAGAGACTTTTTAATTTAAAAAAACATGGGAAGAAATCTCACTTTCTTTGGACTTTCTGGTCTGTTGGTTGGACGTTTACTGAAAGGTGGAAACAAGCTGCTTTCAGACGAGTTATTCCAAGAAATAATCAAAAAACCTGACTGACTGCAGTCCTGCCTGATTTAAGTCACTCATTAAACTCTACAGAGCAGACTGATGCTCGGACGGATGATGGATCCGTGTTCATCACAACTCAGTTTTAAACAAAAAGAAATCACCACCAGTTTTCACTTGCAAGTAACGTCTGAATGACGAAGGAAAGTTACAGGTAGTTGGAGATAAAGTGCTATATTAAATAAGCTTGATATGTATTTGCACAAAGCAGCGCAGCAGCTGTAATAGTTTTCTGTCACACAGCAAAGGTCTGAGGCTCTTTGAGGACGTGAAGCCTCTGAGTCTGTCTGCGCTTTAGTGTTGGTGCTGTTTATGATTAAGACTCCAGAATGACCGATCACGGTTAGTTTCTCTCAACTATCCAGACCAAAACGGGCCTGGATAGTTGCTGAGATATTGTGGTGTGGACTGGCAGCTTCAGGACAGAAAATCTTCTACTACTACTTACAGAAAACATTTTCACATGCAGGCAGAAAGCTGTGATAAATATTCGTATAGTGTAAGTGAAGGTGCTGCACAGCTATAAATGGCCTTCAGTGTGAGTAAAGCTTAGTTTCTCAGATCACTTAGTAATTTTGGGCCTTACACAAGTGCAGCCCAACGGGACTTCGATACGCGTCTTCCTGACTCGATATGTGTCTGCGTCCTTACACGTGGTCTTCATCAGGACCACCATCGGAGCCCGAACCTCCACAGAGTTGTAGCTGTTCACCTCGCGCCCGTCGATGATGCATCCCTTACAAAGGCACTCGGCAAAGATGATGTCACGTGGATACCTGCTGTCGTTTCGGTCTATGCTGGAGACACAGACAGACAGAAAAGACCTCAACACGTGCAGGAGACAGTGAACACACAGCAGATTCAGTCAGGACAATACGCGGCTTCTCAAATCAAAGCTCGTTTAATATTAAAGCTGGTAGCTTTCATCTGCTCGCTGGTTCCAGGTTGAACTTCCTGAACCAGCTCAGCAGCCGTCCATCCATTTCTACTCCGCAATAATCCAGCCTGCTCTCTGCACATCCAAACTTTGGATCAGCCACCACACAGAACGAGAACAGAATACACCGGAAAGTCAGGACTGCACAGAAAGTCACTGCTGCTGCTGACGTGTCCTCCATTCAGGGCTTGTACAAATCTAGAATCAGGAAACAGGCAGGCAACGCCACTGCAGACCATCACAGCCTGGACCCAACCTGTTCCCACTCCTGCCCTCCAGTAGGCGCTACAGAGCACTGTACGCCAACAGACATCTGTGCAGCTTCCTCCACAGGCCGTCACTCTGATGAAATCTTACTTACTGTCAAAAACATCCACCATACCTGCTGCTGAACCAAAGCATGATGTATATACTCTCAAATGCATCTACATCTCAGCTACAGTCACATTTTCTGGTAACACTGCACCCAGCAATGACATCTGTAGTTAACCTTAAACACTGATTAGAATTTGTTTTTTTAGTCTGCAGCTGACACCTGCAACACACCTGTGTGCTACATGAACACAGACCTGTTTTGTCACATTCTAGTTCACTGAACTCTTACTTCACTAAGCTGCCATCTCATTTTGTTATTTATTTTTTTACCGTTTCTTGATAACATATACATTTTCCAAATCCTCCATATATAAATATATGCAGTAAATTATTTTTTTTATGCTAGTAAAACAGGGCTGTGAGGAGCCTACTTCATGTACATTTGGCTGCAAGTATTTGTTTACAGTACTTGAGTTAATGATAGTGGTGTATGAATCAGGAATTAGTATTAATCTAAAATAACACTTTTAACTCACTGGTGTGCTACATGCAGGTTTATTGCAGACAAAAGTTAAATACTTTTTACTGTACTTTGAATGAATGACTTAATGTGAGTATCAAAACGGTAAAAATTCTGCTTTTAACATAATTATTTACTTTAACTATGTAATTCATTAACCACAGAGCAGCACATGCCATCTAATGAGATAACGTTCATTTATCCACAAAGCTGAGTGACTCCTTTGGGTTTTGTTAAATACAGGGGAAAAAAAGATGTGAGCTACATATACATATAACCTTACATATGCACACAGAGAGGCAGATATACAGGCATCTGCCAGCTTATTACTAGTATTATTAACACAACATCGTTTCAAATGTACTCAAATAATTTTACAAATATGATCTACACAAATTATTTCTCATTTCCACCATCATCTAAACTGGCTTCAATAAGTAGAATGGTAAAAAAAAATCATTAAAATAACATTTTAAACAACTTTTTATCATTTTAAATAAATTACATTTATAATCAAGTAAAAGTGTATCGAACCTGCTCCCCAAAGCGCGCTTTAAATGCTGACGATGAGGCAAAGAACACGTTTGTTTGTTTGTTTGTTGTCTGAGCATTTTTGTCCCTCTGCGGGTTCCATACTTACTAGTAACGCCACGGAGACAGCGCGCGGCCGTTGAGCTCGTGCATTTGCTGGGCAGCCTGTTCGCAGGTGGTCAGCTTCTGGTTCTCGCGGGCGTCGCGCTGAAGGCCGAGCTTCTTCAGGTTCACGTCAAACTTTCGCTCGCGGACCTCCACCTTCTCGGCGCTGAGACACGTGGAGTTGGAGGCGGCGGCGCAGAGCTCGTGGAGGATCAGCAGAGAGATCTGCAAAGTGGCAGAAACACGCGTGAGAGTCAGAGAGAGCTGTCCGCGAGCCCGGGGCGCTAATGTGATGTGATTTACCAACTGCAGGAAGCTCGCGACCATCTTGACTTCGGACGGCTGAGACTGGCGGACGCTCCATTGAAGCTGCTTTAAATAGACAAGCGGAGCTCCTACGGTTGCCTGGTTGCCATGGGGATCTCCTCAAAATCAACATTTCCGCATGAGAAACAGTTCGCGTGTGGCCCCGCCCCTCTGCTGGCTGTGCGCTGTGTTTGTGACCGGTCAAAAAACGTCCTAACCAATGTTTCTGCGCTGACGCGGCGCATGCGCATAACACCGAACCCAAATTAACTTTTTCTCTCTGGAATACTTCTTAAGGTTATGGGTAGGGTTAGTCACAAGTCACCGTCAAATTATAATACGAGTAGGACGATTTGTCAGAGTAGGATGGTTTCTCAGAACACCGCGAGCAGACAGCCTCGTACCTCTAATAAACTCCGCCGTGAGCTCTTTTTAAACATTTCACACGTTTCATTGTTGGTTTGTTTTTTTTAAAGGTAGAGACAGATGTTTATGTTTTACAGAAAAAGGTTTTTATCCCCTGAAACGTGAATATTGTCAGGTTTTCTGCAACTGCTGTCGTTCTGATCCTCAACAGTACATCTCAGTGTTTACACATCAGAGTCACAAAAGCTTCTGTCGGCTTCTTTTTCTGAGAGAAGAAGAACTCAAATGAAAAGTTTTCAAAATGTCAACACAGCGCCATGAAACACTGTATTGTATGTATTTAAAAATAAAACGAGGTCATTCCTGACTCTTCACATGGAAAAAAATCCTCTTGGGGTCACCCTGCTCCTGTGAAGTCACTCATTGCTCATATTTTTCTGTAGAAAAATGTGGAAACTTTGTCACGTGGACTGTCAGCATCAGGAACAGCAGGCTACAGAAAAGTGGGAGCGATGAGTTACTTTACAGCAGCGGGGTGACTCATGATGTGTGTTCTCACAATGTGAGTATTTGCATGAATCAGATTGTGATCTTATCTTAATTCACAGTTTTTAGCCGGTGAGCTCTCTGTGGTCTCAGCTCTATTTTTTGTGCATGATGACATGATATGACATCAGTTCTCAGGCACTGAGTTTCATCCCTGTAAATCTTCCCACCCCGGCCCATCCTCCTGCTGGACCACCATCAGGAATATGGAGCCCTCGCAGCTCCCTCATACTTTAATAACAGCACTTGTGTGTGGCGCACCCTGTAGTTACCCTATCACTCCACAGATGTGTCCTGGTGATGCAATGACACACTCGAGCTGACTCAAGCGTCAGACTACATTCACTTCCTGCTGCTGGAGTGAGGTTCTGAGGTCAGCAGAAGTCGAAGGAGGAAATAAACACAAAACATTTAGTGTTTGTTTTTAAATACATTTTAAATATCTATTTTGGTGGGTTGATGAATTTGAAGTCATGTGGAGCAGGATGAGGAAAACTGACTGAAGCAACAAAGGCGAGCCTTTATTTCATCTGATGAAACCTCCATAAAGGTCAGCAGAGTGAACGCCATCCAAAGCTGGTTAGGAGCATGCAGAGACGATTAAAAATGCAGAGACATTAAGCTGACAAGTTAAAACAGGAAGTGAGAGGCAGTAACTAAGCAGGAAAATACAGACACATGAATTACTTTCACTCGGGGAGTTTGTGAGGAAAGGCATAAACTCTTAATACAAAGGAACTAACCTAAAAATGAAGGACTCAGCCGCTGTAGTAATTTTGATATGACAAATGTAGGAAGTATGATCACGCACAGGAAGCGGGGCTACGTACCGGTTCCTCCTGCTGCCCCTCCCCTCGGCCCAGTGAGGAAAACCCTAAGATCGTGACAGCTCAGAATAACTCACGAGAATGTGCTGCGTTCAGGCTGAGAGAAGCCGGGCTGATAACCTGCAGGGCCCCTGCCTCATCACGTAGGTCATATAGCCTTCATATACTTCCTGCAAGTGCTTAGCCAAGTGAAACATGTGCTGCTAAAATACAGAGCTGTTTTTAACTTCTTACCTTTTAAAAATGCATCTCAAACGCAAACTGTAGGCACGTATCATAGGCCACATTCTTCGGAGGCCGCATTTGTAGACCGATTACATCACAGCCAGGTGAGGAAGGCTGTCCTGATTCGAAGGCTGCTCCAAATGCAGCCAACAAATGCGCCCTTCTTTTCCCCGGATTTGAAGGATGGCTCGGGTGTATCCTTCATGGCCCAACCTATCCCAGAATTCATAGCACTGCCCAGCCGATTCCTGTTTCCAACAATGGCGGCAGCTACTTAGTTATAATTTTACTTAAACTATAATTTTGCTCTTGTTACTCTTTCTGTGTCACACGAGAATGTAGCTGTAGAAACTTCAAATATCTGCTCGGTTTATCAAGACATCGCATATTTGCAAAAGTGCTCCAACGTTTTCGGAGACGTCTGTTACCCACCAGCTCGATAGCTGACCGGGGCGAGAACAGCTGACCGGGGTGAGAACAGCGAACTCCCCCCACATCGTTTTCAAACCCCCCGCAGTCTTTCACTACTCAGGTTAAACATGATATATAAGTCACTTAGATAACTTAGATAACTTCGAAGGACCCGGCCCACATAGACCGCGAAGGCCAGGTCCTCAGGAGGATGCAGCCTATGAATTGGGACATAGCTTGTGCCTCTGCGGCGCGGCTAGCATGGGGATAACTTTCATAACTACTGTGAGGCTCCACGATCCACCGCTGCAGTACAACGTAGTCCATTAGAGTGAACTGAGATGATGCGACGCTTCCATTCAGCAGCTCTGAACTCCCGCTGTTACTCGGTAACCATGGAAACCACAGAGCGGCCTAAGCGTGTGCAGCTCGAGTGTGCTGTTTGTCCAGGACTCTCTGAAAATCTCTAATTAAGACTTTGTTCACTCACATGCAGAACATTGCACACACCAAGTCACTGTGCAATGCATGAATTTTGAGTGTCGCCTCAGATCACACACAGCAAACAAAGACTGCAGGGTTTGGCTGTGCTGGGTGCACTCACTGCCCCTCACCCCTGAAACTGTAAGTACATGGTAGACTGTAGACAACCTGATGGACACGTGTGACTGACAGTTTGTTGGCTATCCTGGTTTACTGGCCTTTTAAATTAATGCAGCTTGTGGAGTGAGCTAACTGGAGTTAGCTGGTAACTTAGCACGCCAGCCTGTCATCCAAATGTGGTCACTTCTGGCTTTGAAAGTCTAAGGTGGCAGCAGCCACACTGCTAATGTTCATGTGTCTGACTGCAGAGTCCAAAATCAGTTGTTGACTAAAGATGGTGCCTAATTCCATCCTTTACATACATGCTGTGTCCAAATTCAGCATGAGGACCCGGCCTTCGCGGTCTACGTAGGCCGGGTCCTTCGAAGATAGAGAAAGCCGTAAGCGTGAGGCTGTGAAATGGGACGGTCTGGCCTTCAGCATCACCGCTGTCTCTGTAGAGTTTAATAAACTCGACCATCTCACACTTCTGTTTAATCAGTTTTTTGTTTGACGTTTATGAAAACTAGAACTTTAATCTCAGCCAAACCGATTTACTCAGGAACAAATAAAATCACTGAAAAAAGCCAAACAATAACATGTTTAAGTTATCTAAGTGACTTATGTATCATGTTTAACCTGAGTAGCAAAAGACCGCGAGGGTCTGAAAACAATGTGCCGGGAGTTCGCTGTTCTCGTCGGCTCTAGTGAGCCTTGACCTCATGGTCCGCTCCAAGCTGATGGGTAACAGACGTCTCAAATATGCGATGTCTTGATAAACCGAGCTGATATTTGAAGTTTACACAGCTACATTCTCGCCTGAAATTATCTTAAAAGTTTATTTTGTGACCGAGAAAGAGAAATAAGAGTAATATTAAAATTAAATAGCTGCCGCCAATGTTGGAAGCTGGAATTGGCTGGGCTGCGCTAGGAATTATGGGATATGGTGGGATACGAAGGATACACCCGAGCCATCCTTCAAATCTGGGGAAAAGGAGGACACATTTGTTGGAGTCTTCGAATTTGGACAGCCTTCGTCCCATCGCTGTGACGTAGTCGGTCTACAAATGCAGCCTATGAATTGGGACACGGCTACAGTCTGTGGCAATTGTCCACAGACTCAGCACCAACGTTTCAGTCAGTTTTTTCTCCAATGTTTAGGTCTGTGTGACGTCAGCTCTGTCACACCAGGATAAGAGCGAGTTATTCACTTCCCACCTGTGTTTTTAACGGTGCATTTGCTTCTGGAAGCTTTTCTGAAGCCCTCAGTGCAGAGAGAGGGAAGCTTGTTTGGTACCTGTGGGGTAAAATTCAGGGCAAACAAAGCTCGCAATCTTTCAGCTTAAAATGTCTTTAAGCTCCTTCTGGGATTCTTTATTAAGGTAAACGTTCAGGGTACGGGCCTTCAGCTGTATGATTCAAAGTGAAACTGTAACAGTGCTTTTACAAGTTACTGATTAAATCCAGCCTCTGTTATCACAATTAGTCTTATGCTAGAGTTTCCTTGTTTACTCTGTGTGGAGTTTATGCTCTTTGTGTCTTTGACGGTGCTTTTTGGCACAGAAACCAGTGAGGTGATGCAACGCCGCTGCAGTCTCCTCCCTCTCGCTATAAAGCCTTGCTGCCTGTATTTAGAAGCAGAGCTCGCCTGCCAGATCAGCCTGTGAGACGTCCTAACTTTACGTGTAAAATCAACTTGAAACGAGTTTGTTTGTGCTAAGATTCTAAAAGTCTTAAATCTTAAAAAACACAGGCAGTAGCTAATAGTTCACCTCAGCCTGCTGCTAAAGCTTGATGCCTTCACACAAAACCAGTCTAACAATTAACAATTACGCTGAATTAAAAAACAAACAATTTCAGCAGCTTCCTCCACTGATTCTATAAATAACTGTGTGTCAAACCTGTTCATTGCATCACTGTCCCACAGAGGAAAGAGGATATGTGTTTGATTAGAATTAAAAGGCCGATTCTTCCTGCTTCTTTGAACCCTTTCACTCCCATTGACCGACTTCCTCTCTGCGAGTGACAAGGAAACCAGGGCATGCAATACGGGTTTTCCACACTCACATCATCGTTCGGGCACCTGCAATGATTCAGGATGACGGATTCTCACTGTCATTGTTTTGGGTTTTGAATCTAATCCTCAGATTTTTTTAAATATTCCTTTCAGTTGTTTTCGCAGCTAACATGTCAGAAATGTTGTAATCTCACACTCAGCAGTCCTGCACGTGTACGGCGTTTACACACAGAGACCAACGTGAAGCCTTCTGTCTGTCGGCGGGACGTCAGTGCCTCGGAAACCTGACGAGTTTTTATTATAGTATCATTTTAGTCGGTGTATTTGGCAGCAAGTCTGCAGCTCCTTTGGACTTTTTCATATGTTATCTGTGGCGACCTCGTAAATCCTGATCTGTCTCATGAAAATCATCCTTTGTACATGAAACTCATAGAAAATGCACAAAAAATAAAGAATGCATTTTTTTTGTTATCGTGCACACATATATGGAACATAAGTATAACCTTTAAACATTTACGTATGCCCCAATGGATACTCGTGAATATCTGAGGCAGGAATTTACTCTTATAAAGCACCTAACCTCCCAGGTGTACTGCTTACCTGGTGTCAGTGGAAAAGGAAGAGGAACAGGCAAAATTTACCGAAATAATGTAACAGTGATGGAAGCTTTAGATGTGTGTAAAAGGCTGTTTAGTGTCAGGAATTTTAGGTTTGTCTATAATTCAGCGTTTCAGACAAACAGAGTCTAACTGCTATGATTCATGAAAAGCACAAACTGTGGATGAAACCAAGAAGAGCTGTTTGGGATTCTTTGCATATTTACATACTTTAAATACATAATGATATTGAGGCATTTCTGCAGATTTTCCCTCATGTGCATGCAGCATACTGCATGCACACTATGACGCAGTGATGCAAACATGAACAGCCTTCTGTTGTTTCGGTCGGGCTGATGTACGTACAGGAATGTGACGTGGGACTTTCTGCAAAATATCCAGCCAAGGCGGCAGAGTTTCAGGGGCATTCCAGTCGACACCTGCGACACCATCTTCCTGTACTACAGCATCAAAGAGTGAAGTTTGTGAAGAGCGCTGGGAGGTGACATTAAAGTGTCCAAGAAATTACGAATGACGGGTGAATAATCGAGTAATGCAGACATTTTGTTCATTTTCAGTAATTTACAGAATTAGTGAAATGTAACTGTGCAGTGACATAAATCCAATGGAAAATAACCGAATCTGAGGTCACCTCCAGAGGTGGAGGTTTGTGCATTTATATTAACAATGCTTGGTGCATGAACTCCACTACTACTGAGAGTCACTGCTCACCTAATGCGGAGTTTTTAATGGTCAAATGCAGACCTTATTATCTCCCCAGAGAACTCACCTCTATCATACTCACTGCCGTGTATATCCCCCCCGATGCTAATGCTAGGTTGGCCATGAAAGAACTTTCTGCAGCCATTAACAAACACCAGAATAAACACCCCGAGGCTGCTTTTATTGTTGCTGGCGACTTCAACCACACCAACTTAAAGACAGTCCTCCCCAGATTCCACCAACATGTTTCCTGCCACACCAGAGGAGACAAGACTTTAGACCATGTGTATTCCAACCTGGCTGGAGCCTACAAAGCCACACCCCTCCCCCACATTGGACAATCGGACCATCTCTCCCTGTTCCTCACACCTCGGTATTCACCTCTCATCCAACGTGTGAAACCTGCTGTGTGGACAATTAAAGTGTGGCCAGAGGGGACAGACGCAGTGCTCCAGGACAGATTTAAAAACACAGACTGGAATATGTTCACCCACACAGACCTGGACCAGTACGAGAAGCTTAGGAATGTTGGCACCAGTAATCTTAACTGCTAAAAAGATTCTGCAAAATCTGTGTCGAAAAAAGATTGGATGGGATGATGCATTACCTGATGCAGTTATACAAGAATGGACTATTTGGATGCAAGAGCTCTACAAGCTGGAGGAGTTCAAGGTTGATCGTTGTTTTAAAACCAACAGTTTTGGAACTGTAAAAACTGCTCAGTTGCATCATTTCGCAGATGCATCTGAGGACAGCTATGGAACATTAACTTATTTGTTACTAAAGAACGAACAAGACCAGGCACACTGTGCATTCATTATGGGAAAAGCACGTGTTGCTCCTTTAAAACCAGTTACAATCCCTCGAATGGAGTTAACTGCTGCCACCCTT